AAAGGACAAGGTATTACATTGAGTTACAGTTCATCTCTTAATAGAGAAGCTCAAACAGATAGATGTCCCACAAAAATTCAGAGAGAAAATTCTCCAGTTGGCCCATGAGAATCCCTTGACTGGACATCTAGACAGGGACCAGACTCTATATCAAGCCTAGGAAAGATTCTATTGGCTACATACAGCTAGAAATAACTGTTATTCCTTATTATGCCCACAGTGTCAACTGATGTAAGTAACAAAAAGGATTACAGATAAACCACCCTTACTAAGGTTCCTTTGGCCCTTGTACCACTTACAAAGATGTTATGGATACGGTCATGTCACTCCTGAAAATGAGCAAAGCACATTGATGTATTCTGTTTGTATGTGATAACACAACTCAGTACCCCAAGGCAGTGACCTTAAAACAATCATGGCAAATTAGATAACTGGAAAGCTGTCAAAGTCTTCAGGGTGGGAATCCCTGGGTTATCTTGATGAATCAGGGGATAAACCTTTGGTCAGCAATATTAAAAAATTTCTAAACTATGCAGGAGTCAAGAATGTAGGCATTAGTCCATATCATCCTAAAAGTTTCCTGCCGCCTAGCCTCTGCTTGAACACCTCTGATGAAGCAAAGTCTATCACTTCTCTAGATAATTGGTTCTATTGCCAGGCTGTTTATGCCATAAGGAAGTTTTTCTAACATTCAATGAAAAATTGCCTTTCAGCAGTCTATACCCTTTATTTCATGTCCTGTATTTTGAAGTGATGGGGAACAGATATTGTTCAGTTGTTTGGGTTGATTTGCAAAAAAGACAGGATGCTCATACATTGGAGAGTTATTTCCCAGTAGTCTCCCATCCAAATACTGACCAGATCCAATCCTCCTTAGCTTCTGAGATCAGTCAAGGTTAGTGTTGCCACCTAGCTGTTCCATCAAAAATTCACATACAATGAATTATTATCTTTCAACAATATGGGGATGGGCTGCTACTGAGTTCTTCTGGAATGTTTCTGACTTCTTGGTACAACCATGGGATTTCCGATTACCTCCCATTCAAGTGCTAACCATGTCTGATTTTGTGCTAAGCCTTTTTCTTTCAAGGACAGAAATCATTCCCTTTTCAATAACAAAACAAAATCAGTGATAAAACAAAGCTAATTTAAGAACAGGCTCCTCATACCACAAAATTAGAATACTATGTTAGGCTATCTGAGATGTCCATTAGCACCGTGCAACGTCACAACTTTTCCTTGCTTATATACGCAGCTCTATTTTTTCCTTGGTCTTTCAGGACCACAGACGATACCCTGAGCTGTCTGGAGTACTTCCAAACCCCCCGATATAATATGCGTATTTGTGAGAGAAATCTTTCTTCCTCTGGAACCAAGACTGCTGCTTTAATCAGAATCCGAAGAGCTCAGTAGAAAATCCAAGCCAGGCTATGCTCCCCTGGATCACGAGGATCCATAACGACGTTTTTCAAATCGGTTTTCCTACTTTTGCGGCTTTAAATCCGTGTTGGGCCGGAGACTGCCTCGGCGCCCTGAGTCGCGCGCCGAGCGGGGCGGCTACGCAAATCGAATAAATCGGTAAAATAAAGCGCCGTGAATCCTCCGCGCGCTCCCCGCAATCGAGGAAAGGAAACCCTAACTCGTGCAACGATATCGCGCGACGGAGACTGTGGGAATTTCCATTTCAGGCTCCCGGCCCGAGGGACAATCCCTGGGCGGAGAAGGCGGGACCGCCTCCTTCCTCTTTCTTCGGAGGAACATGG